GTAATTACCCCAAGGATTCTAGGGGGGGTAAGTAACCCCAATAACTCCCCTTAACTCCGCCACTGAAATACATGCATCTGTGCACAGAGCAATTAGGTGGAATAGCTCTTGGATTTATTTTCCTCATAATTTTAACCCTATCCCGTTTGGGGGGGAAAGGTGATTTCCACCCCCCCCCTGTGGTTTTTTCCTGAAAAACTTAAAAGCGACTTACATTATAATGCTGAAACTTTTTCACTTTTTCAATATAATAAATAAAAGCAAATTTTGCTAAAAAAGTATTTTTTGGATGCTTTGGGTAGGGTGGAGGGCGGTCAAACGGCAGGTTGGTGTTTCAAAGAAATCAAAAATGGTTAATATAACTTTTTTATTAATTAAGCTACAGCAGGGCTAAAACTTATAAATTTGAAAAGCCCTTAAAAATGGATACAATAACATGTGTAGCATGTTAATATTTGTCATAAGTAAAAATAACTATTTTTGAAAAAATGTTGACATACTTTTTGAACTTTTTTAAAATCCTCCCTTACACCCTAACCATTAAAATTAGAGGTAAAATTTTTTTATTGACCTTTTAAAGACTTTGAAAAGTTGAACTAGGGACATGTATCACACTCCCCTATCACAACCCTATGGGGAGTGGGAAAACACCCCCCCCCACTTCATTAGACAAAAATAGCCTGAATACAGTTAATAATGATAACAAAACATTTCAAGTAACTAGATTTGAGAAGAACTATTAGAGATCAGGATAAAATATTTTAGATGTTATGAAATGAGTTGGGAATAATAACAAATATATACAAATAATTAAAAATATCTTTAATCTGCTCAAAAGTTGAACCTGTTGAGAAAGAATGTATTGTATTCAGAGAAATATGATAAAATTAATTTAAGGTCGAAGATTCAAAGAAAAACAGACAATTTAAATGATAAAATGCAGGAGGATTTAAGAAACAAATAAATTTTAAATGGACTTAAGTATAATTTTTTTTGTAATTCACATGGTCCTCAAAAAAATCCGCGGAAGCTTGCAATTTAATGTAAAAAAGTGCCATCTCATAGATATGGTTTCAATTCGCAAAACTGTTGAATAAATTTTTGCTTTCGCTGCAGTGGCGCAACTAAATAATAATTGTTAATAAAGATTAAACAGTTGAAGGTTTTTTTATTATCAATAAATGAGTATTGGAATTTTAGGTTTTGTAGGTTTAGTAGGATTGGAGATTTTAGGTTTAGTGGGTTTAGCAGGATTGGGGATCATATTTTTTTTGCTGTTGTAAATCGATAAATAAAGGGTTTAAAGGCACTGTTGTGANTACCGATCTAATTTCTAACTAAATGTGCACCAGATGGGTTTTCCAGATTTTTGCCACAAACCTTGAACTCTTATATATTAATTCCTTTATCTTTGCAACCCAATGTCATAGATTTGAAACTTTGTATTCTTCTGGTAAAATAATCCAAGATTGTAACATCAAAGGTTTACACTCTTCGGAGTCGGTGCAAAAATTTAGGTATTAGAATATTTGAGTTTGTGGCAAAAACTCAGTTCCAAATCAAGCGAACATTCTGAACCTGGAAAACTTCTAACTGATTATCATATTTCATATCTGAAGGTTAATCTTCTTTGAAAGAACTTCTGTAAAATAGAAAATGAAATAAGATTATGAATGAATTGGTTAGAATGATCAAACATAAATTCATTAACTTCAAGAAAGAACATAACATTATCTGTCCTTTTTCATTTTGCATTTTTAACGATTTTAAATAGACGACTAAAAGTCGCTTAATTTGCATCATTAAATCGTCTATAAACTCAATTTTGGAAATTAAGGGAAAAAGTTGTTAATTAAACGATTTTTAGTTGCATTTTAAACGATTTTTAATCGTTATTTTTGAATTGGAAATACTTCATTTTAGACAACTGAAAGTCGCCTAATAAGCGATTTAAAATCGTATACTTTTAGGAAGGTAGTCAAAAACTCAAACCAGTTTATGTATCAGCTGATGGTTAGCATTCTTGCTCATTACCGTCTCTCATTTTACATTTAGTTAGTTAACAGGTTCATTTCTAATTGCGACAAAATGTGATCTATCAGGGGCGGATACAGGATTTAAGTGAGGGGGGCGGGGGGCAAGATTTTTTAGGAACAAAAAAATTCATAATTAGGATTAAAAAATCTCGCCGCAGGTGAAAATTTTTTTTTACTTAAAAAATCTTAAAAAAAAACTCAAAAAGAGTCAAAATCAATGACTAAAGAGTAAAAAACTAGATTTTTAACTTTTCACACATTATAGTTTATTAAGACAGATAATTTTCCTGTTTTGCACTAGGGTTTCTTTCCTGGGGGTGGGGGGCTTATCCTTAACCATACTAAATGAGTTCTCATATAGTTAAGAATTTCTGAAACTTATCCTCCCCCCCCGTCTTATTTACTGTGAAAATGCGTTTTCTTATCTGGAAACAAAAGCATTGTTGCCGATTTGACATATATTGTACATGATTTCAGCAAAATTATTATTATTTATTTTATTATTTTAGGGTTAAGTTAGTTTTTATTGAGTAATAACACCAAACTTAAATTTTTCACAAATTTTAAGTAAACCCTGGCTAATTTGTCTCCTCTGAACAAATTTCCCCCCTCACATCCTCCTCACACCCTCCTTCACCCCCTCCCCCACAACTCTCCTCCTAATATGCATGTTTTTGTTTATTTAAACTGTTTATTTTCCTTTGTGGTCTTTATGCAAAAGTGATTTGTGCATTTTTTGCTTATAAGAACAACTTGAGATTCATAAAGAGTTTTGAGTCAGAAAAACAACGATATCTTTCACTTTTTCTCCAGATTCAGGTTTTGCAGTTGATTAAAATGTAAAACTAAAAAAGTGTAAATGGGTCTGTAAGGGTAATTTCAAGTGACCCGCCCTGTAAAGAGGGGAATGCCAGATTGAAAGCAGTATCCCTAAAACCTTTGACTAATCATCGCTGACAGAGACAAAAAATAGTAGTAAAAGAAAAGATTAACCTAAAATATGAATTGATTTGCAAATAGTTCTGCTATACCTGTCTGATCGGAAATTTTCCCTTTGTTATCTCATAAAAATTCTTGTTTCAATGATTATTTTCTAAAAATATCTAAAAAATTAAGGGATAAAAAGTTGATGATCAAGCATTTCAGAGTAAGTTGAAGCGTTAAAATTATAGAAAAAATATTTTTAAATTTGGGCTTATTTTTTTTGCATAATGTTTAAATTGCATAAATGTCTTAATAAATGAAATGAAAATATCTATTTGATAGTCTCACTTTAAAGGTTTTTAGATTTAAAATTTTCTAATCTCTATGTCATTAGAACCTGATGGTTGAAACCTTTAATATTTCAAATGTAGACTTTCTAACAGATTTCAGATTAGAGATTATCTTAAACCTTTTTACAATGGTTAAAATACATTTAAACAGTAAGGAATTGAGCTCTTGCCACAAACTCTGATTGTCTAATCCTTTTATCTTTTCAACCCTGTGTCACAAATAAAGTTAAGTTAGATCACATAGTCTAAGTTTGAAATATCAAAGGTTCAAACCATCATGCATCAGGTTGTTAAGATATAGGGATTAGAAAATTTGAGTTTGTGGCATAAGCACAGTTCCTTTGACATTCTGTTCAACAGTTCATGTTGAGGATGATGAGATTTCTTTGTTGCTTGAGAAGTCTTCAGACATTTTTTCTGTTATTACAACCCAGACATCTAAAAGTTATTTTAAATTTATCTCTGAATATAGATATTGAATATGTTTTTACATTGGATTGATACATGTGTGTTTAGTTTAGGGGGGAGCAACCTGACTTACTTAAATTGCATTAAATAACATTAAAGAAGAGCTTTCATACCATTTATTCAGTATGGATAAAAAAAAATAACAAACCACCAATAAAGATTACCTTTTCGTCAGATATGGGACTATTTTTTATTCTTTTTTCCGCTTCACTTTTTTGCATAATAAATGTAGTCAGAACCCTGATTGTCTCAAAAATGTCAAATTAGTGAACAAATCAAGCTAAACTTTTTTACCCCAGAGAAGGTTGTTATTGTTATTTTCTAAAAATTTAAGGCAAAATAAAGTTAAGATATCAAAATAAACATTTTAAATAAATCAAGTATCTCAATCAAGCACTTATTTAGTCAGTAAGGTAATTGGGCAATTGGAGTTGTGGACTTCATATTCCTGCCTTTTGTGTATTCCAAAGAAGTCTCCATACAGTTTAATCAGAAACTCACTTAATAGGACCTAAAGATTGTTTTAAGAAAACAGTAGTTGTAAACCCTGTGATGATTATTTTGTTTTGATAAGTTCCAAATTGAAAAGCTTAAATTTCATACTGTTGCTTTTTATTAAATCCATAATGATTTGCATCCCTATATGTGGGTGGGATTGCAGGGGTGGTTAAATTCTGAAATCTGATTAATTCCTTAGCTGTTGATTAGTTAATTAGTTTATCCTTAATTTTAAACTGGAAATTTTGACTTTTTCTTAATTGCTAAGTACAGGTGTTAAGATATACCTTCTCTATGTATTCCCAATTTTCACGTTTCTCTTCTTTAGTCTTCATCCATACCTAAGGTATCAGATATTGAGCATTTAATCATAGGTAAACAATACATAAATATACCAAACTTCATTGTTTCGCAACCTAGATTGCGAGAAGGACCACTTTATTATCCCTGTACTGCATCATGTTTACCCCTGAATGCGGTGTATATTCCAAGAACAGAGAAGATTCAAGAAACTTGTTTTTATGATGTGTAAGTATAAACAGTTTTAAATTCGTACTGCATCAGCTCGATTAAGCAGTAAAGCTGAAATATTTGTAGCAATTAACTATATATGTGATTACTACGATTGTTTATTTACAGTGAAGTATTGCGAGGACCATTGTGGTAAGAGTTGTATTGTCAATATTCATTCCTTTTATTTAGTCCTTTTGTTATGTGTTCTTGCTGTAGTTTTTTAATGCTTTTATGTAGTCTTTAGTATTTCGAACAATACTATAAACAAATAATATGTAAATTTTATACGTGGTAATTTGGGTAATCTCCTGACCATACATATATATAAATAAATATAAATAAATATTATATATAAATAATAATATTTACTTTATTTTACTTTCATGTAAATATAAATTGTAAATTGTTAATTTTAAATCCTATTTGTGTAAAGAATATATACCTGTGTATAATATTTTCTTTATATTTTCAATATGTAAATGTAAATCTAAATTGTAATAATAAATAATAAATACATACCAACTCTCCCCATTACGTGGAATAAATCGTCCAAGATGAGATTCTTCACCATTCTCATGTACGACCCTTTAAAATGAATAATGTTTTAAAATTATCACCAGTTTAGAGATAAAATGCAATTTTATTTAGGTTTTTTCACATAGACTTATTTTAGTATGCATTGGTCAATTTAAAGACACATGTATGAACTATGAAGGAAAACTAAATTTAAATAACTATGCACTGTGCTTTTTGCAAAAATGTAAAATTGCTATTACCGGAATTTACATTTAACATTCTTACAATCTTCCATGGAGTGTTTGTCTAGCCATATTCTTTCTTTTTCCAGTTCTCTGTAGGCTTCTGGAGTGCTGCAATGAATTGTGTATTGTTAAATATTCAAAAGGATTAAATGATTAAATTACCTGATGTGTAATTGAGAAAAACTAAATATGTTCAAATTTCCTCTTACAGGTTGTTTTCAAATAATGTTCAAAAATTGTATTGCAAATCATATCAAATTGACCCCCCCCCCCGCAGGAATAGGGTTTTAAGAAGAGTATAGTCAGTGGCGTAAATAAGGGGGGTTATTGGGGTTATTTACCAAAGTACACTACGTGTGCTAGCGTAACACTCGCCACCAGCGAGAAACAAAAAAAGTACTGTCTGCAACCCACGACAAGTTTTCTCCAACAGCTGGAAACTACCTGAAAATCACTATTAACTTAATACAGACTTAAGTTTATTACTATCTGATGTATCTAAAAGAATCTCTCCTTCCACGGGATCTCCAACTCCATCTCCAGCTCCTCAGGAAAGGTATTCCTAAAGCAGCACTTCTTATCTTCTTCTCTATCTCTTTTTTATCCTCATCCTCCAGGGAAACCTCATCATCCCCCTGAAGAATCACCACTTCCTCGAAACCATCCTCCTGCTGAGGCCCAGGAAATCCCTCAACAATTCTGAACTTTTGAGGGATTTCCTTGAATTTCTAAAAAAAAACGGAAATGCCTCAAAAATAATTTTTGATCCATTTCCGTGTTGAGTCGTTTCCGTGTTGAGGCGTTTCCATGTCACCAACACATTCTTGTTCAACAGAGTTCCAAGCACCTGGACCCCCATGGCCGTCATGTTCCTGGATTGGAAGTTGTAGCCTGCCAGGATTGCAAAGTATGTGAGATCAATAAACCCTCTCTCCACTCTCACCTCCTCTCCAGACACCAATGAGTAAAACTCCTCCACCCCCCGAATATCTCTCTGGATCGTGAGACCGGCAGGAAGATCGCGGAGTAACTTTAGGATCCCAGGCTTAATCATCATCTTAGTATGAACGTACATTAGAAAGGCATATAGGACTGATATTCAGGAAGAACCACGTGAATCCTTCCTACTATCTGCTGCTGGGTCAACTCTGCTAACATGCCAACCTAGTTGCCAATCCGCTGCTCCCCCCACACCTTAGGATACTGGGCAGGGATCAACATCCTCATCCTGAGCTAAAACTCCTTGCTCCTCTCCAAGCTCAATCTCTTCTTCACACACTACCTCAGATCATTCGTCATTAGAAGTCTAGATAAAATATTTATAAATTCAGGAATGTATTTCCTAGGACAATCAATAAAAATACCAGTAATTATAACGAGTTCATGTTTGTTTATTAAGACACCACCCCCCCCCCTCACACTCACGCTACAAATTACAGTTTGCTCATTCCCCTTGGTTCTCAGTGCATAATTCAAAATTATCTTAGAACTCTTAACTCCCATTACTCTTCCGAGTTTCAAACAAATTGCTTCCTTGGAGCAGGAGGAGCCATTAAACACAAGCAACACTACGTCATTAATTACTGGTAATCTATCCGTTGCTAGCCATTTATTAGGTTTCAAATTCAAGAGATGAATATTTTAATAAAACCCTGGTACCATTGTTGGTAAACAGATCTATTCCTATCAAGGATCTTTGTAAAATTTGAACTCATTTCCAACTCAATACCACTCCTCTCTAATGACCTATAATTATTCCGTCCTAGTTTCAACCTGTTGGGAGTAATAATCTCATATCCTAAAGCAATCTCATTAGATGTATTTCCCTGGGCCTAAGGGAAATTATAAATGGCATTAGAAATCCCAGAGAATAATGTGTCCCTCTGTGTACAAGTTATAGAGATTAAAAGAATGAGAAGGAATTTTGGTTAAAAAGTAAAAAAAATTAGAAAAATGAATACATCAGGAAGATAATTTTCTCACAAATACCAGTCCAATCCTTATCCTTTGTGGGCAAAAAAGTGATTAAGAAAAAAGTTTGCCAACTTTAATTATAGCATACAATGCTACACACCATCATTATGAAGCCCTTCTAGAGTTATTCTTGGTAGTGAATTGAATCTCCCCAACCTTTCACTTTTACCAAAGTTCAAACCTGACAATGCTCCCCCCCCCCCCCCC